CCCACAAAAGTTTCCTAAGAGTGTCCCACAAGAGTGTCCTGCAAGTGACCCACAAGAGTGTCTCACAAGAGTGTCCCACAAGAGTGTCCTACAAGAGTGTCCCACAAGAGTGTCCTACAAGAGTGTCCCACAAGAGTGTTCCACAAGAGTGTCCTATAAGAGTGTCCCACAAGAGTGTCCCACAAGAGTGTCCCACAAGAGTGTCCTACAAGAGTGTCCCACAGGAGTTTCCTCCAAGAGTGACCCACAAGAGTTTCCTACAAGAGTGTCCTACAAGAGTGTCCCAGAAGAGTGTCCCACAAGAGTGTCCTACAAGAGTGCCCCACAAGAGTGACCCACAAGAGTGTCCTACAAGAGTGTCCTACAAGAGTGTCCCAGAAGAGTGTCCCACAAGAGTGTCTTACAAGAGTGTCCCACAAGAGTGTCCTACAAGACTGTCCCACAACAGTGTCCCACTAGAGCGTCTCACAAGAGTGTCCCTTAAGAGTGTTCTACACGAGCATCCCACAAGAGTGTCCTACAAGAGTATCCCACAAGAGTGTCCCACAAGAGTGTCCCACAAGAGTGTCCTACAAGAGTGTCCCACAAGAGTGTCCCACAAGAGTGTCCCACAGAGTGTCCCACAAGAGTGTCCTACAAGAGTGTCCCACAAGAGTTTCCTACAAGAGTGACCCACAAGAGTGTCCTACAAGAGTGTCCTACAAGAGTGTGCCACAAGAGTGTCCCACAAGAGTGTCCTACAAGAGTGTCCCACAAGAGTGTCCCACAAGAGTGTCCCACAAGAGTTTCCTGCAAGAGTGTCCTACAAGAGTGTCCCACAAGAGTCCTACAAGAGTGTCGTGTAAGAGTGCCCCACAAGAGTGTCCTGCAAGTGACCCACACAAGTGTTCTACAAGAGTGTCTCACAAGAGTGTCCTACAAGAGTGTCCCACAAGAGTGTCCCACAAGAGTGTCCTATAAGAGTGTCCCACAAGAGTGTCCCACAAGAGTGTCCCACAAGAGTTTCCGACAAGAGTGTCCTACAAGAGTGTCCTACAAGAGTGTCCCACAAGAGTGTCCTACAAGAGTGTCGTGTAAGAGTGTCCCACAAGAGTGTCCTGCAAGTGACCCACAAGAGTGTTCTACAAGAGTGTTTCACAAGAGTGTCCCACAAGAGTGTCCTACAAGAGTGTCCCACAAGAGTGTCCCACAAGAGTGTCCTACAAGAGTGTCCCACAAGAGTTTCCTACAAGAGTGACCCACAAGAGTGTGCTACAAGACTGTCCTACAGAGTGTCCCGCAAGAGTGTCCTACAAGAGTGTCCTTTGGACATATTAGTTGTTCGATCGTGTTTGCATTCGGGTTCGTGGGTTCCATCTTGTTTTTGCATGGTAAGGCGGGGCGCCTTGTTAGTGGGAGATGGAGATGGTGAACGTGGGCTGTTCTGAAGGGGTGGTTCACTGAAAGAACGGCTCTTGTTGACTTCTGGGAGAAACGCAAACCACTTACTGTAACTACTTCTCCCCGCTATATAGTTCAATTCCGGATCTCATGTGGAAGCTAAACATGAACTTCAGGTGATTTGATCGTTTCTGTTCCTGAATTGGATTGTAAAGTACTGGGGGTAAGGACGGAACCCTGCTTGTGACAAGGTCGTTCTATGTCATTCATATGCATATATGTCCAATGACGTTGTGACGTGCACCTTCATTCAAAGTGCTTAGGAATCGGCCAGTGGAATATGCAGCAAGGCACCAGATGGCGTCCATCATTGGAAATATGGGAAGTGCAACTTCTGCCAAGTGCTTGGGCCAACATTTTAGTGTACAGTATGCAGATCTTGGAGAGGTGAGGAGTGGATAGATAAAACATGATCAAGATGTTTTGTTTCAGCGTCCCACAAACTTCTATTGAACGTGCTAGATTGCTGCCGCGTCTACATCGTCTCTCTCAACCCCCTCGCACTCATCTGGTTTCTCAGCCTTTGCGGATTGATTGGACGTGGAGGCCATGGCTAGTAGGTTGGTGGCCATTTTTGTTCCCCACCATGTCCCTCTCGCTCCATCAGGCAGCTACCCCTCTCACCCAGCTCCACCTCCAGTCCCTCCGTCGTCCAGGTGCCAGAAGGGAAATTGGCCAAGGGTCCCGGCGTCATGGCGAACCCCGGCGGAGCCGCGGAGTGCGAGAAGGGCGGGAAATGCCGCACGGCATGTGTGTGGGTTAGGTGGATGAAGGAAAACAGCCGGAGGATCTAAAAAGCATGCGGGTTAGGTGGGGTTGGATTGATCGACATGTTGAAAGTTGTTGTTCTTCAATGTCCTTGGAGATGTTCATTTGAGTTATTTGAAGAGGCTGCAGAAGGACCTTGTTCAGGTGGCACGATCATAGTAATCATAGTTCTTTGGTACCTTTTTTAGAGGTTTGGACTTTTCGTTGCTCCGATCCGCTGGCATGTTCAAAGCAAAAGTGGCCTGGCTCAAACACCAGTTCTTGCCTCCAACTTCGCCAGCTTTCGAAGATCCCCCCAGTTGTGCAGTTCATCTCAGTTCGATTTCTGTTCTCAGGTATGTTCAAGTTCGCCAAGTGCACCAAATGCGGCCGCGGCGAGTGCGGCATGGCGGGCCCCGACTCCCGGCGCTCGTCGACCACCTCCACCGCCTCCAGCGAGAACGCGGCACGCGTGGTGCCGGTGACGAAGCCAAGGCCACAGAGCCCAACCTTGGCGGCAGCAGCGCTCGTGGTCAAGGAGACCAAATCAGAAGAAGAGGAAGTGAGCCAGAAAACATCCAAGGAGGACTTGGGATGACTTGGATTCACTTGGCTGTGCTGTTGTTCTCATAGTTTTGCATGGAAGGTTCCAAGGGTTTTGCGGATTGAACGAGACAAAGAGATATTACCAGCCACTTGATGCTCAAAAGCTCCCGGCCAACACCGATTTGCCTGGAGGCCCCAAGATATGAGGCAACCAAAGCTTCCGCGGGCACCGGTGATGATCGCACCCGAGTGACCTGCCATGTGTGTGGCTACAAGTCGGTGCCACAATGGTTGAATGACAAGGCCCACTGCATCCTGGCCGCAAAGCTCCAGCAGACCTTTGGGTTGGGTCCTTTTGAAAGAGGCATCCAGAGAATTGACTGAGAATTCCTTTCCAATACTTCTTAGAGGGCGCGTTCCCCTTCCGAAGGGCCCTATAGAGAAGCTGTTTTCCCTTGGAGAGACCAATGACTTCTTCTAGAAGCTCTCTGCCAGCACCACCCATTCTCCGACTCCTTCAGCTTAGGCTTGAAGTGCGATGCCATCCTGAAGACCCGTAGCAGCATCCATGGCGATCCGGACATGCCCGAGAACATCTTGAAGGACCTCTCCTCCGGCCGGGCACCCGGCGAGGCGAGCACCTACAAACAGGCGCCTGGAAGTGCCATGGACACTTGGCGCCCGGCGCGGTGCACGCACGGTGCACCGAAAAGGATCGATCTCTCGGTCTCAGTGACTGGGCCCCAGGGCTTCAAAGCGTAGGCCGAGGAAACCTGGTGGTTCCTTGGAAAAGGGACTGGCTGCGCTGAGATAAAGAGGAGATGTTTATGACATTTTATGACCATGATGACCATGATTCGAAGCTTTAAGAAGCCACCACTACCACAAGTTCCACAAGCACTTCTCAACATTGTGAGCATCGTGATTGGGCATACTATGCCATAATGGTGATGCCACACTGATCCCACATGTTCCCCTTGCTGATGCTGATGTTTGGTCTTCTGCCGGTTCTTGCATCACTGTCGGGTGAGTCGGCCGGTGGAATCCCTAAGGAGTCGGCCAGTGGAAGTTGCAGCAAGGCGCCCGATGGAATCCACCATTGGAAGTATGGGAAGTGCAACTTCTGTCAGCAACCAGAAGGTAAACTGGTCAAAGGCTCAGGCGTGATCGCGAACCCCGGGGGTGCAGGTGGATGTAGTAAGGATGGCGGCAAGTGTATGTTCCTTGTCTTAGCTTTGCAAGGTAGCATTTTCGTCCAATTCAGTATCATTCTGTGCCCCTCCCAATTGAGTTGTGATAGTCGTGTGATAATTAGTTGTGTGTTTGTGTGGATATTGGAGTTTGGATGAGTTTGGTGTTTGGATCATTTTGGATCTCAGGTTCAAGTTCTCCAAGTGCACCAAGTGTGGGCGCAGGGAGATCTAGGACCTGATCTAGGACCTCCGCGCGGAGGTTTCAACCATCACATTGCTGCAACATGTAAAGAACGCTGCAGCAGCCTGAGTTGAGGCTCCCAGTTGGTCGCAAATGGTTCATATTTATATATTTGTAGATCCCTGTGCCTTTTCATGCGTCCCTCTCGTGCCAAGAGTGCATGTGTCGGACTTCAACATACCATATGTTGGAGGAGGGGCTTTGGGGACCAAGGTCCTCTGTGTGTTCAGTGTGTTCAGCATGCCCATCGATGTGTCATGTACATCAATGCATTCACATGTCATGTTTTTTGTCCTGGGCAATTGAACTGCCAAGCCTTCCAGTCGGGGGCTTCTCCAGTACAAACACTGGAAAGCGCCCATTATTATAAGAATCAAGAAGGAGATTTGTCTTGGAACCCCTGCAACATATTGACTCATATTGTTGGACATGCCTGCTTGTGGTGTTGATCAGACTGGATGCAAGTTTAGCCGTTGTTTTTGGACTGTGCCGGGTGTCCAAAGAGACGAGAGATCTCAGGTTCTTAGAGATCTCAGGTTCTTCACGATCACCTTGACTTTCACCCGGGCTGGGGACATCCTGGGCTGGGGATGGGGGGGCCCCTTCGTCTCCTACCTCGTCCGCTTTCAAACCCGATTTGCCCCGGATTTGACACCAGTCAAGAAATCTTGCTGGAGACTTGCGCTGGGCTTCACGCCGAAGAAATGCCTGCGGAGCGGAAGTCGTTGGCCAGCGTGGCGGAAGTGGATGCTGGGCGGTGTTCTGTCCGCTGCCTTCGGAAAGCTCCCCATGTCTTCGAGCCGTTGCGAAGGCATTATCAGCCGAAAACCGAGGCGGGAAGACGAACGATGGAGTTTTGGCGCCACCTTCCTGAGCTTGGAGAAAGAGGATGAGTGGAGCTGGTTCCTGAGAGGGGTGGGAACTGACCCACCGATCTGGTCTCATCCCCAAGCTACTCCATGGGCTTTTGGGAGATCCTTCTCTTGGAGCAACTTCTTCAACTGTAAGGAGTGCTACACAGCACATGCTCCCAGGCTGTGCGTGGTGCATCCGGTGCCCGCAGGGCGCGCCCACAGACCCCCCGACCCCAACCGCCCCGTCTCGGCGTTCTGAGGCGAAGAAAACACCAGCAAAGAGAGTGTGCAGCGCTCTGCCGGGACCTTGGGTAGTACGCGGGTGGATGAATATAATATATATATATATATATCATATATATAGAGATAGATCAGAATATATAGACCTTGGGACTTCAACCTAAGTGACAAGTGGCCTGATGCTGATTCACAAGTGGTAAAGAAGTGATAAAAGATTTTGCAATGGTGTCAAAGCTGTTGTGTTTGCCAGCGCCTTTGGTTGCAAACACAAGTAGCATCAGCTGAAAGCACAGGAGCGCAGGCAGGCGGTTTAGCATCGGACAGGGACGTGGAAGGTGTTGTCATGAGCCTGGCCATGAGGCGTATCACACCCAAGAGCTCATCGGCAGGTGTGGCCCAAAACGTGCCTCCAGAGCCCCGACGGAGTGGACAGCGTTCAGCCAGAGCTGGCAGCATAGGGACTACCATGGACAACCTCATCAAACCGACAGGATGATCTCCATCCTGTGTCCTTTTTGCCCCCCCGAATTTCTATTTTGCGATCGCGTGTCCCCCCGAATGAGACCACAAAAATGGAATGCTGGGCCCTGGAGATGATGAGCGTGGAGCTGGCAAACCTATGAGCTGAGCTGTTTCTGACTCGGTGAACCTCACCCAGCATGCTTTTGAGGGGTCAGTGTGGATCTCTCAGGTGAAGGGTATCATCTCTCAATTCGTAGCCAGCCTAGCATGATCAATGTTGCAATTCATCATGTCATATCATGTCCCATTCTGTAGATTCATCATGATCCAAAGCAACTTGAGACTCTCCCCTGGTCCGGTGCGCCAATTCACTGCGCAGGGTTCGGTTGACTTGCGGTGGCTGACTCGGGTGTTCGGTCAGGACCCACGAGCTTGAAGAGAATGCCACGAAGTTTGTGGAGGATTCCGTGTGGTAGCTCAATGTAGCTCAGCCCGCCTTGGGCCAAAACGGGTTCAAAGACCACATGGGACAGCTTCTTCAGGTGTTCGGTGAACTTGAATCAACATGTGGCAATGCTCACACAAGCGCTGCCTAAGCAGACCTCCTGCTTGCAAACATCTTTTTACAAGGGCCGCCCGGCGCCCTTCTTGTTTGCCAAGGTCGCTCTGCTACAACGGGTCAAGGAAAAACTTCAGGCTGCCATGGACGGAACCACCAGTAGCACTGCTGGCCAATTTGGTTCAATGCGAAGCTGCCTGGTTGGATTTCCAAGTGCAATATAAACGAGAAGGCAACGATACAACTGCCAGGCATGCAGATGAGCATCAACCGCCTTGTCCAGCAGAAGAAGGAGCTGGAGAAGGGCCTTGCAGACAGCACGTGCCCAAGCAAAGGGTGAAAAAGACCATGTCCCTGTGGCCTTTGATCTGTTGGAGGCATCTAGCTCAATGTTTGATTGTGTGAGAAACCCACCCACTTAAGCGAGCAGTGAAGTTTGCTTCTCAAGAGCCGTGCCATTGTTTCACAAGAGCTGTGCGGTGCTACGTGTTTGTTGATGTTTGTTTTGCTCGTTGGAACGCAAGCTATTGTGAATTGCACGATTTCCTTTGGGAGTCTTTTGGGGGATAGGCTCCAGGCCTCGTTTTGACGCTGCGCAGACCTCGTTTTGACACCAAGGTCAAGAAGATATCATACGCACTGAAAGACTTTTGCAGCACTTGCAGCACGAGATTCACAGTCAAAAGGCGTCGGGATCCATCGCGTATTCCAGCCAGCTTTTCTCAGACCTTGTCCAGAATGGGATAGTCACTGAGTCAAGACCGGCGTTTAAATCAAAGTGACGACGTTTGAGTTCTGAACATGGACCGCTCGTCGCCCGTGACGCCGAACGCCACCATGGATTGAAGCGCTGAACGATCTGCGCTGTTCAATGATTGTTCTGTTCGGAAGCAAAGCACAAAATGAGTTCCTAGGTTCAAAGGCGACACAAACAGCCAGTGGTTTCAAGGCGGATGGCACAGACCCCAAGATGTCTTCTATATCGACGTCGATATAAGCCACTATAAATTACAAACCACCTTTGGGGATTGTGCCATCTACTCCAAAACGACTGTGAAAAGTTAAAGGATAAGATTTCAGAACGGGAAAACCTGCAAGCGCTTAGAGCAATCCCCAAGTGGGGGGTATGAACAACATACCAAGATATCGTCCCCTTTTTTTAACTTTAGGGGGCCTAAAGGGCCTTCGATCACCATAAAAGATCATAAAAGAAAAGAAACCAGAGTCACCGGGCCCTTTCCAAGGCTGCCAGGCAATTGCGTGTACTTGTGTCAATATGCTACTCGTACTTAGAAAACATATCTATTCTCCTGTTCCAGACTCCTTTGAGGTCCTTGGATGAGTGGGAGGCAGCTCCTGAAATCTCCCTTGACAGGTCAGCCTGGGTCAGTGTCGCGTGTTGCGCTGCATTGATTCTAGTGATGTTAAAGAGTTGCTTGGAACCACAAATCAATTTCAGGAGGAAATAGGAGAAAGATGGAGAAAGAAATAAACGAAACAAGAACGTTATGAAACGTTCAACTGCACCAGGCTTGACCAGCGCTTGCCCCTAGCTGTCCAGCAGGCGGGGTGGCTAGCTTCATGGGTTGCCAAGCAAGGAAACCATGGAACTGCAAGATCCTTTGGTTCTGACATGTCAGGTGCCAAGCTCCAGCTTAAAGTTGGTGGATTGCAAAATAATACCAAATATGGTTTCCATTTCGAGTCAGTTTGGCAGATGCTCTTGAGGCACACGTTCAGAGATAGTTATTGAATGATTCTACTGTATCCCAGATGCTAGAGATGCATATGCTGACACTTTGCATCAGCCGCATCACGTATTTTTATTAAAGAGACTAGCAGGGCACAACACAAGTCGCCCGCTGAGTGCTGGTCAGGACATACGCCAGAGTGCTTTCGAACGAATGCAGGAGTTTGTGGGCTGTTGGACGGACAAGTGTGGTTTCTGTGAGATGTTGATACATGTTGGGCGTAATCATGCGTAATCCTTGCAAAGCTGGTTTGGACAACCCAGGCAGCAAGTCTCTGAACTGGAACTGCACGAGACGTTTGGAATGCTATGCGGCCCTGTCTGGTCAATTCTTGATTGATCATTAATTATGGCTGAGAGGTCTTTTCGTGATTTTGAATTGAATAGATAGTTGAGCGAACACGTACGGGTATGTGCAGGGAAGTCATGTCCACAACTCCAGGAGCAGGTCCACAATGCCAAGAGCAACGTCGAGTTCCGAGCTGCTTCAGAAAGTTCTTCAGTCTTCCAGGCATTTAGGTCGCTCTTCGGTTGGAGGCCATTGCTATTAGGCTGGAGGCCATCGCTCTTCAGTTGGAGGCCGTTGCTCTTATGGTTGTCTTTCAAGCATTTAGGACTTCCCACCTCCCAGCCTCGCTCGTACCGCGCAGGTCGTGGAGCTCCGCGGTTCAATCGTTGGTTCCTTCGTTGGTTAATGTTTGTCTACTCTTTTTTCACATGGAGACAGCAAATCTGCCAACCCAATTCATTCGCACGTGTTTTTGAAGACCACCAGAGGAGCAAAAGCAATAGCAACAACAAGAGCAACGATGAAGGCTGTGGGTCAAAACCTGGAGCCCTAAACTCTTAAGTTTGGCTCCATTTAACTCGCCTGGTAGGCCATTAGGCCATCCTGCTCATTTTTGGTGACAGACCAAGGTACCCGAATTTTGACCCTCGTCGTGGGTAGATCGGCGTCAGGATCGGATCCAGCTGGCTGCCGAACCGGCAAAGGTTTGACCCCGAATTGACCCACCACGTGCCGTTGGCCACCGGCAGCTTTTGAGGTGTACGTGCTCAGCAACAAGTGTGAAGGATCCAAAGACCTTCTGTCGGGGGCGCTGGAGCGGGAGCATGGTCTTGAGTCTTAGCAGCCAGATATGTAGAAGTATCTTAGTGCGTTCAAGTCACCCATGAAGTTTCCATCATAACACCAGATGGACTTTATCCTCTTAATCATCACCATATATAGTAAGTATTAGTGTTACATAATTGTATAGTATATGAATATACAAGCTAATGGTGAGCTAGAAGTTGGATGTAAGCTGGGCAAGCTGTGGGCCACCAACCAAGCCCAAAATACAATTGCAGAGGATGGACCAATTTTTTCATTGAAGCAGTTGCCTTTAGGCTGAAAGAGGAGAACAATAATCGCGCCTTTCCATGGTCTTCGCCCTCGTTTTTTTTGCAGCGCAGCGCTGTTGCAATGCCTGGGACCTCCTTTTGGTTGTGCTTGATCAAAGAAGAAGAAGAAGCATCTCACAAGGTGCGGCTCCTTGCATTTCTCATGGCAGTGGCTGACCACCCAGGCAGTTTCAAGAGATTTGTTGAGCAGATGAGGGAACAAGAACTTGAGGAGATGCTTGAAGCTGAGCAGGTGCCTTTGAATGGGAAGAGGGTTATTTTTGGGGGGTCCTTTCTTGCGGTGTATTTGTCAGGCAGCAAAATTGCCTCCAAACCAGCGCTGAGCCTACTGATAATAGCAATGGCCTCCAACCTAACAGCGACGGCCGCCACCCTAATATTCGATAGCCTCCACTCCACCCTAACAGCGATGGCCTCCAACTACTGATACGTTCTTTCCCTTGATGAATGTGTCCAGTTCGGGCGCATGAATGTGGAGTCGATCGCATACTAGTAGCTTCCCTGTGAGGATGACTTTGGCCCTGCAGCTGCGACTGTCTCTTGCCCTTCGTTTCTTCAGATTTTGTGGCCTACTGTCAGCTTGTGCAAGGACGGGTGTCAGCATGTTTGAACATGTTTTAAGAGGTTTCGACGAAAACAGATTCGAATCTCCAAGCGTTCAGCACTTTAAAGCATCCACATCCTCGCCCTGGTGCCGCCCTGCTCCATGCAGGACGAGGAGCGCGAGAGGTTGAGCCTTTAAGGCTTTAGCTGACCGAGTCCGCTGCTGATCGGCAGCAGACATTTCATTTTGACAGCGGCAGTTGGAAGAACGAAGAAATCCTGCAGAACGATTGTTGGGTTCATTTGTCCTTCCTCTGCGCTATTTACCCCGATTGTTCGTGTACATAGCGGACCTGGGTGACAAGAAAAGGAGCTTCACATGGCGATGTTTCTCATCGCATATTGTGCTTTGAAAGCTCCACAGTGGCACGCGCGGAGGAGCTGCTTTTGAATGACACCATGGCGATGTTCCTTTCTAGATTTTTGTTGGGTGAAATTGTGGTTGATTCCGTCAGAGCCCACGTCGTGCCCACTGCCCATCCCAGGTCCGCTAGCACGGATCTTCAGGATGTTGCAACCAATAATCATTCTCGTGACTCATGACTGATTGATTCTCCATTTTCTAAATCAGCTGACTCGCATGAAGCTGAAAAGAAACAGGGTGCTGGAGATGCTGGCCGCAGAGCACAGATCTGCATGGCCCAGGGGCGCAGCATTTGTTGAACCCCCCATGATCCACTGGTGGAAACAGAAGTGCCCCAGTGAACAGCGTAACATGAATGATCATGAAGGGCACCCAGTATGGTTTGGCTTTCTGTGTGGTCCGCTTTTGCTTTTGTGTGAATTGCACTTGCCCTGATTTTTCACACTTTCCCACAAAAACGAGTGGAAAAGTCCTTGATCGTAAAGGCTCAATATTCCACCATGCAAGGATATGCAGTTGTTGAGTGTTTGGGAGGCACTTCTGAAACTTCTTACATTAACTGCATTGGCACTTGTTGGCTAATATATGCTAAATATCATTAGCCCATGTCAAAGGCTAAGAAAACATGTCATCGACTCCGTTGACACACTGTTGTCACCGACCGGGGGTGTACTGGTGTCAGCCTGAATCACGGTCCGCGGCGAGGTCTCAACTACGTGAAGCGAACGCGGAGCTCCGGGAACATTTGGCAGCCAAAACGGCCGGAGGGGGGAATGGAATGGAATGGGGGGAGGGTTGGCTATCCAAGAATCAAGAGTTGTTTTGGTTTGGAGGTTGGACTGGCTGGTTTGGAGCTTTAAAGACCCAAATGATAGAGATCACAGCAGAACCATCTCTACCTTAGATCATTCTAGGCCCCTAGGCCCCTTTTGCCGCCGTTCAAAACACGAACAGAGAACGGGATTTCTCAGACGACTCAACTACCCCGTGTTTCAGCCTCCCGTGACCGATGTGGCGAGGCATGCTGGAGAATTGACTTGCCAGGGCCTCAAGATGCGGAACCAGCGCTTTGGGCAGTTTTGAGCCGATCATTTGGAGTTCGGTGAGCCGAGGGTCGGTGAAGTGGAAGCGATTTCCATGGCCAATGGTGACAAGCACGGAAAGTCCCAAAAAGCTTGGTCAAATTGGTTTCGGTTTCTTGGTCGAAAACATGTTGAGCCATGTTGAGCCCGTTTTTGTGGTAATTTGGCAACTCGACTCTGGGTCATTAGAGGCAAAGAACTGCACAAACACGTTCACAGATGCGCACGATGCAGTAGCTGGCCTAGCCTGTGATCAAGTGACAGCACAGGGTGCGCCTCCCAGATCGCTGCTTTACGAGAGGGGGGAAAAACTTGTTCTACCTCACGCGCTCGCGGACTCCCCGTGACGAGCGTTGCCGTCAGCTGCCACTGATCGGCAGACAAGAAACACAAAGCACCTGCAGAGCAGGTGAGACCCAAAACATCACCCACGAGAGAAAAGGAGCAATGGGAAAATCCCAAGTCGACAAACATTGCCCAGATACCCTTTGAAGCCTTTGGGTGATCGAGACAAGAGATTCAAGCTCTGAATTGCTAAAGTACGGCGCAGCTCCTCTGATAACACCGGATGGCATGGTTTTGCCCCATGCGTTGTGATCTCTCGGGGTGTGCCGACCCGGATGGAGATCAAACAAAAGCTTGCGCCGGCAAAAAGCCAGGCGTCCCTGCAACCACCGAATGATAGTACGAAACGTGGCATGTTCATCATGTGAAAGATGGCAGCGACCTCCGTACAAAAGAAACAGGACGGCAAGTTCCGCGTAGGAAATTTGCAGCTCAGGGGATTCTTTCCACTTAACTCTCGCAACAAACGTCCCTAGTGCATCCCAGTCTTCAATCGGAAGTTCCCAGCGTGACGGCGGCTGGGGTGGCCAACTGTGGCGCATGGTCCAGTTGAACTCAGTTGCAACAGAGTCCCATGGCAACGCAGGAAACAAGTCACGGGGTGCACGGTTCTTCACATCATGACTTTCAACTTCTTCTTCTTGATAGGGTTGAACATTGACCCCAAGGGTGTAGCACAGAGTTGTGAGCCAGTTCTGTCGTTCAAGAGTGGCCTCGACAATCTTGGGGTATTGGTGTGCAAAGATAGGCGAGTTGGCAAGTGCAGCCTGTTTGGCTGCCAGGTCAGCAGCGCGGTTCCCTGCAATGTCCTTACATGTCGTGCGACAAGCTTGGGCCTGCGATTCCGTGATCTCTTCAACCGGAAGGCCTTCCAACACATGTGACGGAACCCAAGTGACACGCAAGGGTTCACTGTGCATGGTACGGAGGAATCGCCACCGGTCAAACAAAGACTGCCACCAATTATGCCAAGCCCAATCATCACAAATCTGCTCATGATCAATCATGTACTGTGTCTGGTGAACCAAACTAAGACAATCGGAATGGACATGTACGGGCCCACTTGCATCAAACACGGCATACAACAACGCCCAAAGTTCGGCAGTGAAGCTGCAAAGTGACCAATGCATGACGGGACCTGATGCCAACACATTTTGATGTTCATCAACCACGGCAAAACCTGCGCATGTGAGCAGCAGGTGATCGGGCCACATGACGGAGCCATCTGTCCACACCTTTTTGGTATCCTGCGCGTCACACCAGGCAGCATTGGTCCGGGAATTTATGTTAGAAACACGAAGGCGATGTGACAAAATCGACCATGGGTGTTCAACGATTCCTAACAACTCAAAATTTCGACCTAGTTCATGGTCAGGGGGCGGTGGCGACTCAGTGAGAATGTGCGGGCACTCCCTAACCAAATGAGCAAGACATTCT